AAAGGCGCTTGCTTGTAGAGGTCCGTTTTTTTTTTTGTTTTTTTTTTTTTCATCTGACAACGGACCATGTTTTTTACCGGACTTGCAGTATTGTACAGGCTATGAGTGTACATGCACCGGATATCGATCCTAGCGACTATTTACTGACGGGTGCTTGTCCGGCACCCCTTGGTCCGATGTAAGGAAATCCGGTCAAACACTTCACGTTCACGGTCTATGCTGCGATTTCAACCTTTTTTCCAGTTTTGTCTTTATTCAAACATCAACGAAAAACAAGACATGATATCTGAATCGCTATGTAAGCATCTGACAACTTTGACAGGCATTGAGCCAGTTATATTGATCTTTTAATGGTTCATATGAAATTTATTGCCGTTAGAAGTCTAGATAACAATTATTTTACACAGACCTATTCAAAGCCCTACCCGCTTTCCATTTCCTTACCCCTTGGAAACGTCTCGGCGGATTTTCAAGTGTCCCATTAGTATAAAAGCACAGCTAGCTTAAAACGTTATCAAATGTAGCTCTGACAAAACTGGAAAGAAAAGGTGAAAGAAGGAGAAAAAAACCATCGACGCGATACGTTTCTACTCTTTATGTCTCAGTAGTATAAAATTGTAGAGTCGGTGTCATTATAGTAATGGGAACGGCAGGCGTTTCTCCATGATCGGGGACCCGTCGGAAAAGGGGTTCTCCTTTGGTACCTAACAGAGAATAATGAAGCCATGCCCAGTCGGTCTTCGAAACTCAATTCAACCCGCGCCCTTTGCGAATGAAGCGATTGAGTGACTTGCCTTCAGGCATTGTGAATAACAAAAAAAAACGTTTAATAATAATAAATTGATGCACAAAGATAAAAAATTAACAATTTTTGTATCATTTCGTGTTCCACGAATATTGCCTGAAACAAATAACGGCTCTATCAACGAACCTCCAGCCAGGTGACCATAGCAACAATCAGCCAACAAAAATTTTATCATTCGGAAAGAAATCTATATTTTTGAAGAACTTATTAATTATTATTAATAAGGAAAAAATAAAAACAGCGACTTTTAAGGGGTTATGTGAATAAAATGAATGTAAATTGTAAGGCAGTGTGATCCAGATGGACTATTGAAAGCAAAATTTATCTTTTCTGGTCGTTGTTGTCTGCTTCATGACCGAGTAGATTTCAAACGATATCCACTGTCAATTATAATGTAAAGTTGTGAAAGTAAGGACATTTGAAAACAAACCTAGGATAGATATAACAGAAATGGTCTACTTTCAATAACTTGTGACAAAAAATGGAATTATTTAACAAGTTTCGTTTTTAAAAAAATATATATATCTTATTTTTTCGTGCACGTGATAAAGTTGGAGACTATGTCTAATTTCGGTTCATGATAAAAAAAATTCATCTCAAGAATAAAAAAAAATCCTTGCACTTAATGACAACTTTCAGACGAGTAATAACTAATCATTAACCCTGATATACCTCAATAAAAAAGTCTAAATATATTAATATTATAATTTTCATCAGCAATTTTTTTTAAACCACATAGAAAAAATACGTTATTGTATGTTTCTACATCAAATGAAAAATTTTATTAAAAGAAACAAAGCGGATATGAAAATACTGCAGTTTGATTGTCTCAATGTTGCCATGTAGTTAGAAATTGCATCATTGTATTTTTTATACACCTGTAAAGTTAGGGTTGGACCTGTGTTTTGTCTTCATCATTATTATCGCCCTATTCCGGTATTTTTTGTGGCGGCTGAAATCCTCGTTCCTTTTGAGTTTTTGTGTTCTATTCAATGGAATGAAAGTTATATAGCGATAGTGGTTTGTCTTTACGAGTTGACAGACCTTTTAAGTTCATAAATTTCAAGGTTTTTAAATATGGGCATTTTTTGGGGTGGGTTAGGGGTTTAGACACGTACTGCGTGCATTATTCAGTAAGTTTTATACGCGCCTGTTCCCACATTTGCACATTCGATGTTTTGACAGTCTAGAGCCAGTGCTCGTTGAGTTAAAAATCGACGAGTCCTACTCCTCCTTTAAACGCATTGTATCCTGCAAGTTAATGTAAAAAGCAACCATAGACAATTTAGAGTTTAGAAGGATTTCGTTACAGTTTTTCTATGGTTTTTTTTCTTTTATATAAGTGTTAAAAACGAAATAAACACGGGAGTACTTGCACTACGGAAAAATAAACTGTTTCCTTTCAAGTTTGGAGTTACCAGGTGAGTCTTATAGGTATCAACTTTACCAATTCTAAACTTCTCAAAAATGAATAGCGATATTGCAAATTTTGAACTATTTACTTTCCCTAACATTTTTATTTTATTTTTATTATAAATTGCGTTAAAACTTATTAGAAATTATTATATTTTTTACTTAAGAAAAAATTAATTAAGGAACTTTTAAAAATAACAAAATAAAAGGTTTTAATTCCATAATTTTGTTTATTGGACCAGAATTGGTATTTACTGACCGTTCATCATTATTTAGAGATCGGGAGATGCGGTCTGTGTGATGTAGGTTTAGAAAAACATTTTCTTTATCGTGCCAACGTTTCGATCTTTACTGAGATCATCTTCAGGGCTTGGGATTTATAAATCTCAATAAAGATCGAAACGTTGGCACGATAAAACAAATGTTTTTCTAAACCTACATCACACTACAACAAATCGCATGATCTATAAATAATCATTGGACAAAATAATTTTTTTAACAATTAATATCGTGTATAATGTCCTCTGAGCTAAAACCTTTGTGCACCTGTTAGGCATATTGTTAAGAAGGTTGTCACAAATTTCAAAAGGAATTTCACCCCATAGGCGTTGCGACGTTGCACTTAGTTGTTGCAGGTTAACTGGCAGCAGATGATGGTCGAAAGGTCTTCTCTTCAACGCATCACACATGTGCTCAATGGGATAGAGGTCTGGAGCCAGCCAATGGGGGAAGGGGCAGATGGGAAATTCCCAAGTTTTTTAAACATAGATGAACCACTCGGTCTCTATGAAGTCTGGCATTGACACCCAGAAATCGAAAATCCCTACCAAGGAGATCCCGGGTTTCATGGGCGTATCCCTCGATAATTTATTGGACATAACGGAATGCCATGAGTCTAGTTAGTCCTCCACCAATTCCAGCCCAGACCATTACACGATATCCTCCAAACTGCACTGAAGGGAGCACGATCTGGAGCATTGTACGCATCCCCTGTTTTCGGTAGACTCTTCGCCGGGCTGTTGCTGCAGATCGTCTCAAAGGGAAATGTGAGGCTAAAGTCCTATCGTTTTTGTTGATAAAGGCCTTCCAAAACGTCTTGTATTTCATTTAGGATCTGGCGGGCACTATGGAAAGGGTTCCATCATCCAGCAATGTCAATATCCCTTAGCATCGTAATGCGATGGGACCCACTACAGGTCTCCTATTGGCACTTCCACGATGACTTACTCTCACAATAATATAGCGAACTTCTTGTTCAAAATGATGTCTTATCATGGTAAATGAGACAACTGGGTTAAAATGGAGAAAAGGTGTTTGTTTACAAAAGGAGTAATCGTCATGTTTACTACTCTTAAGTAAATCCGTTATTAAAAATGAGAATTAACATTTCGTTTCGTGGTTTGTATTTTCTATTTTGCTTTAACCAACTAACAATTATCACAATTTAATAGAATAAGAATAAATTACAAATATGCATTTTTGAGTTTTATGTACATAGCGTGTGTTAAGAGTGAATGTATTTAGTGGCGAGAATGTGTAGTGTAAAGGGGCGATGGCAAAGGGTTGAGTACCAATCAACCCTCAATTTGCTTATGTTATATACCCCACCACTTCCCCTGTAAGTACAAAAATTTAATATTATATTTTTCCGTAGATTTTGTAACAATAAATAAAGTAAATCTACAAAAAAATATAAAGCCGATGTTTCGATGCGCCTAAGTAGTTTCCCTAAGTCGTGGGAGGCTTTTAGCTAAAGCTAATTCCATGACAAAGTTCGTCCCGGCTCTCCTTGTTTTGCAGTGTACTCCTTGGTTTTGATTCCAAATTCCTATTTTTAATACGTGCTCGTTGTCTAAGTTCAGTAATCATTTAGCATCAAACAGATTATTTTCTAATATTCCCTCCCTTTTGAAAACACAAATTCCTATTGTGTAATTGAATGAATTTTCATCAGTTGAATATTGGTTGTTTAGTAGGTATAAATCAGGTAAAGGTTGGTTGCAATTAACAAAAGGATTTATCAGCGGCCGGAAGGGGCGGAAGGTAATTAGCGAAAACGAATTATAGATCAAACTGATAATTGAACGAGTTTTCATCGATTCTCCCACATCCTCAAGATAATCGAAGACCCTTGGTTATGGTAAAATTAATAACTCAAAGACATGACGGTTTTAAGTGCGATTTTACAAACGAATCAATATGTACTCGCAACAACTATCCTATAATATCAATGAATCTATGAATGAAATCAATAAATTTATTCACATATGTAGACTTTTAAACATTATTAATCCGTAAAGCAAATGGCATATCTAAATATTTTATTGGTACATTTTGGTTATTTAGAATAAATTACAGATTAAAAATATTAAATTGTAGTTTCGGAAATAATAAAATAAATTAACAATTGGTTCAGAACAGTATGCCTGTAAAAATATTGGCCCACTTACGTAAACCTTGTCTACAAAAATAATTAACTTACGAAAATTAAAATAAAGTCGTTTTTATTCAACAATTTAAATTTCCATTAAGCGCTGTATTTTTATACTAATGTAATTGAAATCCGATAAGTAAATAATCCTGAAATACCGTCAGCATTGGTAGTGGGCCAACTGAGCGGAATCACCTCTGAATAACGGCCATAAATTCAATAATGTAATAGAAGTTGACTTAAGAAATTCAGGGGGGGGGCACCTGCTATAGAAATTGTCTGAGAGGCCGGCCGACCCACAAAAGAGCAAATAATATGTCTTAAAAAGGGAAAATATTTCTTTAGTTTTACCTTTGCTTTCTTCCTCGGGGGGGTTTATTCTCTTTGTTTCTACGTTTAGCCGTTTTGTTAATCAACACATTACCTGCAACAAAAAAACAACAAATAAAATTGCTGGAAATAGTGTCATCACTTAAATTGACTAGAGTAAAATTATATAAATATAAGATGCCAACAATACAACAAAAAAAGTATAATAATCAGGCAACTTATAATTGCTAGCAGTTGGTAAGTGTGTGTTAAGAGTAGTGCAATAATTGAAATCAACAGATAAACTATGTAACTTATAGAAAGCGATCACTGTAAAGCATTTTTTAGTATAAAGCATACATTATTAATAATACAATAATTATTATATTATATAAACAGAATATTAATCCATTTACGTTTTAATGGTCAATTAGCCAAGTTATTTCTTTCAATTAATTATTCTTTCTGTGTAAGGTTTTGGTTGAGTTAAATGGTTTCGAGAGGATGGAAGTCACGATAGCTCAAGTGGGTAGAGCAGCGGCGTATTTAGCCGAAGGTCGTGGGTTCGAATCCCGCTCGTGACACTGGCTTTTTAATCTTAACCAAGACCTTACATATAAAGAATAATTAATATAAACAAAATCTCAAATTACTATAAATTGTAGGTACAAAACAAATAACGTTTTGTTGTATTTCATTTTGAAAATATGTCAACACATTTCTCCCAAAAGACCGCCCCACCAAGAGCGAGGGAAGACAATCAGCGAAATGACGTAGATGAGGAAATTTTGCATTCTGTTAATCGTGATCCCGAAACCAGTACACGTGCGCCATGTATAGACTTGGTGTTTCACAATGGAGAGGTTGGGATACCCTCCGTCGGGAAGGATTGTACCCTTACCCTTTTATAAGGGTGCAAAGTTTGGAGCGAAATGACCACCAGCGAGGATTGGTTTTTTCCTCATCTACATCAATAAGCTGATTTTACTTCCCTCGTTCTTCGAGTGAAAGAACCAGTTTCCTTCAGCCCCTGATGAAGTCGTTCGAAGGTGAGATCTGCTGGAAAGTCTCGATGTGGAAAACGAACTTGGAATTCTATCCTTGCACCAGTAGCATTATCTATTTACAAATCGTGAGATGCTGTCTGGTGTGATGTAGGTTTCAGAAAAACATTTTCTTTATCGTGCCAACGTTTCGATCTTTATTGAGATCATCTTCAGGGCTCAAAGCGTTTTAATTGTGCCATTCTTGCGTGTCGTGTCGAGAGTGCCGGGTGATTTCTAAACAAATATCGATTAACGGTCACTAATCACCACACATTTCTACACGAGTAGCATTATCGTTGCAGTAACCGTAAATAAAAAGCATGTCAGCAAAATGTGCATTAGGAAACAAAGATATGAGGACGTTGTCAGCAAACTGATTGAATTTAACAATAAAGAACTGACACGAAATTCTAGAGCCAGACGAATTTGCTGGAAAAATTGAGCGTGCCCCTCTTAATCGAAACCAGGTTTTTTCAACAAAATGCAAAGTTTTTGGGCCTTCCAGAAGCGCAATCCATAAATGGGGGTATACCGCTGGAAGCTAATTGATTTGAAAGAATTTGCAAAGCTCCAGTTGTGTGTAGTTATTAACAGTTACAAATCCAACATTTTCAAAAAATTCCAAATTTCAACATTTTTGTTTTTACTGAATTTTTTCATCAATTCAGCAATGTAAATAGGTTTACTTACAGCAAATTTAACGTTCTTTCAGGTGGCATAACCCAGAATTTTCTACAGTCAGAATTTGTGAAGTTTATAAGCAATTTAGTGGATCTAAGTCGAAAAATAAAAAATAAAACCCAAACCTGAAATAACTTCTTCACTTTACCGTTGAGGTTTGAACAGTGGTTTATAGGAAGTTCGCCAGTCTCTATACATATATAAAAATAATATTGCTTTTTTGAAATAATTCAAATATTCATATTAATTAATTTTGAACTTGACTTAACAGAAAGAAAGATACAAACGTTTAAAATATTTTATTCGTTGTTAATCAGGAATATAATTGCTACCCAAAGACAAATCTACAATAACAATCCTTGGCGTAATATTAAAATCTTTTCGTCCCTACTTACGTTTTAAAGCTCTTTCAAGTTCTTTACGCTGAATCGTAACATTCTAAATAATGAAAATAAGTGTTTAATCTTTCAGTGATAAATAATTTAAAAGCACCTTGTTGAAAAATGAAAAGATAGCAGAAAAGAAGAAGAAAGAAACAATCTGTTTCATACGTCGTTTCCCTGCCAGCCATAATTTGTAAAGAAAGTAGGCTTTCATGCGTTTCTGGGAACGTATAAAACATAAAAAAAAGCTTCTATTAGAACACAGTCGAGTTCAAAGAGCGCATTTCCACATGCATGCGGATTTTGCGTAGATTGTCATTTTAATTTCGTACAGTTGGGAAAAACTGATGTTTTGATGAATGCGTTACGTTTTCAGCAAGCCGTCAAAAAGATATGAACTGGCAACTGACACAGTCCCATTTCCAAAAACTGTTGCTTGTCTCTAACATTTAGTATAATTTCTCTTATTTACTAGACAGGTTGCTGTAATACAATAAAATTGTTGTTTACGTCAATGTTTACGTCAGAAAAGGAATGGATTTTCAAGACGAAAGATAACGAGAGTTACTTATAATTAATGATACTTGACAAACTACAAATAAATAGCCACAGAAATGGATGACAATATTCTTTATGTTGATGAACAATTTCAACAATTATTACAACCTGGCAATAACAAAAAAAGGTTTTATTTCTCTTATGGAAAAAAATGAATGAACATTTTTTAAAATATTATTTTTAACTTGTCATTGCCTTGTATTTTAGTTTAATCTAAACTATTCAAAAACTCAAAACAAATTATACTACGGGTAATTAACCATAATTTACAAATCTATGTTATTCCGCCAATACACGTAACGTAGAAATATAAAATAGTATAATATATTGTAAGAAGGTTAGATAAACACATTATTATAAGAAAACTACAACTAAAATAATTTATTGCTAATTTATTCCAATAAATTCACCTAACAGAGTGATTTAGACGATAAACGGAACAACCATTAATTATTTTGCTTTATATTCATATTTTGGATTAATAATTCCGATTAATTTCTTTATTTGAACAACAATTACACAAGAAATTTTGGTCGATAACGAATCAACATAAATCTATTTGTTCAGAGCTTTAACGTTTCGCCAGTCGAAACTAATTTGAAACTTATTTATTTATTTGAAAAAACTATTTATTTGAAACTTTTTCGAACCGGCGTCTAGTTTCCAATAATCCTTCGCATAAAACATTACTGAAGATGTAACAGGTGTGGTTTCGAAAACGTTTCAAATAAATTGATTTAAGAAATATGGTTATTAAAAGTTCAACCTTCCCAAAAAAGGAATCACACATTATTTACGGATGAAGACATCAAGACAGATGGTTAGTAAATTTAATTCGCAATGCTACATCGAGAGGCTACGCCTTACCGGCAACTGCTAAAGAATTAATTTCTAATTAATTAATTTCTTTTGACAGTTTTGTAAAATTTATCTTATGTGTCAAAACAAAAAATTTGGTTTAACGATATAAAATTTTCACAACAATTAGTTATGTTTGCATTCAAAAGGTTCTTATTTCAATTTCAACATCTTGTAAACGTTATTTAACATATGTAATTCAGTTATCGATAATTATTTAATGTGAATTTATTTTGTAATTTCTTTTCAATTAATTAAATCTTTAATTAAAGTCTTGGTTGAGATAAACAACCAAAAACTTAATTAAAGATTAATTAATTGAAAAGAATTTATTTGGTCAATCGGACAACGAAACCTAATAAATGTTCTTTTGTAATATGATGAAGAAAGACAGGAAATCACAAAGAGAACTGCAAAACATCGTATGTTGCTGGGTACAAGACCTACATTTGTACCCGGGTACCCGAACACCGGAGGGGAGCGAAAAGGCGGACAAGACTACCATCCGGCTCTCTGATGCTAAAAATGCAACAATAAAAAAAGATCATTAAAAAATGTGGTAGCGTCGGTGGGCCGGGTCTGCATATAAGTTCTCCCGGATCAAGGGCACTGTCGATAGGTGACCATCGGAGGATCTGCATCGTAGAAGGGTCATTCTCACCCGATTAACGATAGGCCATATGTGAACACACTTTTGGGTCAAAGTCTGTATATGTGGGTATGTAGAGAAAGGCTGGTCGACGTGTCCCACCTAATTGAAAGGTGGATTTCCGTGGCTGTACATAGAAAACGTGTAGAATGCCATATGTTATTAGAATGATGAAAGCAAGTATCTGAGTCCGCTAATCCGATTTTGGAGGAAACAAGGGTGTTTTATGCTAGTTTTCTGTCCCTAGTGTAAGTAGGAAATGAATTTTTTTATAGACGGGAATGTGTAGTGTAAGAGGAAATCTAATCGACCCTCAATTAGGTTAGTTAAAATTTGTAAACGGAGATGAAGTAATATCGAGTACTCCAGCACTATATTTAGTGAATAGTATGTAAATAAGAGGAAATGTATTTCAGAAAGAGTGAGCATGTGAATGGGTTTGGATCTAGGAACTGCATGTGTTGGATGATGAATGGAATTAGTTGTTAAACTCACCCGGAGCGCAATCGCGGTGGTTGGACGGATGAGACCGAGGTCTGCCAACACCCGAGGTGAATGATTCTCGAGGCCTACCGGCAATTTATTGTAAACTACAAAAAGTTAAATTATCGATGGATTGCGAGAAGTGATAGGCTCAACTCTGTACGCACGCGCGCAGATTAGAGCTTGCATAAATCCAAAACAAAAGGGGAACATGTTTAAATAAAAATAAAAAGCCTACTCCTATCGTCGAATAATTACGCAAAAATACAACTAAGGAGGAAAACAAAAAACACGCAAATAAGCTTAATTTAAAATTTAACGTACATAATATTATAGTTATTCCAATATATGAATGTTTCGATTATCATGTAATAGAAAATCTAGTGAAAACATTGAACAATTAAATCCTACACAAATTTAACATAATCAAAGTTTAAACATTTTTTTTTCAAAATAC